ATGAATGAATGAAAACCCAAAATCTCTGTAAATGTTCATTTAAACTAATAAAATTTAACAAAAAAAAATTTAAAAAAATCAAAGAGGAGAGAGGAAAAACCAAAACAGTTCTCAGAAGAGACACTAAAGTGTCAAGAGCCAAAACAAAAGGAAGAGGTGTTTGAGTAAAAGAGTTGAACAGAAGATTTCAAAGGGCGGCTCAAGAAGATAAAGCAAAGTATTATAATAGAAGGTGTAGAGACCTAGAATTGATGAATAAAAAAGGGGAGAACTTGCTCTGCATTTCTCAAATTGAAAGAAGTAACTTATAATCTTTCCAAGTAATCAAATATTGGCACTGCTATTACGAATCATTGAAAGCTTTGTATGTATTGACATGGAAAGATCTCCATCAAAATGGACAAATAACACTAGATTAGTCCCCATTTGTAGCAAGTATTTAGGATCAACTAAGGAGAGGCTATTCCTGGGAAAAAGATATCATGCTTGGAAGAACAGAGGGTTAGCGAAACAGAGGAAGATCTCTTTTGAGATGGATTGACATGGGACTGTAGCAATGGGCCCACGTATATCAGAGGTGTCAAGGATGTCACAGTACAGAACAGGATTCAGAACTATTGTTCAGAGTCTTGCTATCAGTCATACTCAACTGGGCAATACCTAAGAACAACACCACAATATTCATATGTCAATACATTATATATAGATAAAGAATTTTCTGTAAGGAATTATAAAACATTGACAATAGTATTGGTTTTGAGTGGGATATTTAAATCATTTCTTGTTTTATACTTTTCCAAACTCTGATTTTTATCCTACCTTATACTCCCATTCTTTTTCTCTCAGTTAATGAACTTTTAGCTTCATTTTATCTTTACGGAAAAAATAAGCAGATAATACAGAGTTCCTATCTCCCATACATTCAGTCAGTGTACATTATAACTAGCTTCTTATATTAGTCTCATACATTTAATACAATTGGTGAACATATACTGGCAAATTATAATTAACTAAAATCTACACTGTTGCTACTGCCCACCTATCAGATTATTGAACTGTGGTGGCTTCCATGTTACTCTGATGGAAGTCATGCTATCAATATTTTAAACACTAGCACTTTAACCAAAAGTGAACATGCTTCAGTGGAGTTTCTGGATATACAATGCTGAAATAATTGTCCAGTGTAAACCTTGGGAATGGCAGTGTAACACTGTGTAATATAGTGTACAGGTTAGAAGGTGCTCAGAATACACTGACGAAGTATGACCTTGTCAAAGTAGTTGTTGTTGTGTGCAACTGAGTCAGAACCAACTCACAGCTGACCCTCTTGCAGGTTTTGGGAGGCAGAAAATCACACAGGAGGAGATTGTCCAGTCTTCTCCAAAGGAGCAGCTACTGGATTCCAACATGTTTTATATGTGCCACTGTGTTACAATTAAAGCATACTTACATATATCTGTCATCATAATTGACACAGAAAGAAATTCTAAGTCAGGACAGATTTTACTCGAAGAAGCTACTTTCATGTGTACATTTCAGATGAGATGTCCATATGTTAACTTTATCTTGTGATAATGAGTCTTGATTTTCATCTTCACAGAGAGGTTGCTTTTAAAGCAGCGGCTGGTGGACGACCAGGTGCTACCAAAGTAATGGTGGTTGTTACTGATGGTGAATCACACGATGGTTCAAAATTGAAGGAGGTTATTGATCAATGCAACAATGACAATATTCTGAGGTTTGGCATAGCAGTAAGTGGCTTTCCTTTTTATATACAAAAATGATGACAATTGTTCTTTCAATACTCACTCCCCAAGACTGTACTTTATCACTAACTTTATTTTTTTTTAATTTTGCCTTTTTTTTAATTGTGATTTTACACAACTTTACTGAAAGTTTGGGTTTTTGTTCAGTTATTGTTGCACATTTTCCCTCATCCCCCTCCAGTCTGCTTTGCAATGCACCCCTTGTTCCAGATTGTTGTTATACAGATAATGCCTAATCACATATTCCTTTCAAATAGCTCTTCCTCATCTCTGTTCCAGTGCAGTGTTGTTCGTTGTCTAACAACTGCTTTCTCACTGGATTTTCATAGTTTCATATAAAAGAGAGTTATTGTTCCTTGCTGCTTTTCAGTTCTATAGGGAATATGGAAGTGAGTGTTGCTTGATTTAAATGTTACTTCTCCTGATGACTTAGAAATAGTGTTCAGAAATAGGCTAGAAAGTATGAATAGGAAAATGGGAGTACAGTAGTAATGACTTATATTCCCCTTCCTCTGTCTTCAAGGTTCTTGGATACTTAAACAGAAATGCCCTTGATACTAAAAATTTAATAAAAGAAATAAAAGCAATTGCCAGTGTTCCAACGGAAAGATACTTTTTCAATGTGTCTGATGAAGCAGCACTACTTGAAAAGGCTGGGACGTTAGGAGAACAAATTTTCAGCATTGAAGGTAAAATGAAAACAACAAAAAACCAAAAAGACTACCCAAACCAAAACTACTTGTTTTCCTTAATAATTTTTCTTCCAGAAATGTTTATAGGAATCTCTACTTTTATTATGGTATATTTGCTGTATTGATGACTACTTGCATGGCTTGCACTAAAACACAAGAATAAATTAGTAAGGAAACTGGACAGGGAACAAATGCAAATGGCCAGTGAACAAAGAATGTATTCCCAATTTCAGTAATCATATAAAGACAATTTAAAACAGAAATTTTTTTTAGCCTAAAAGGTAACAAATATTTTAAAAACTTTCTTTTAGAGAGATTGTGTGGAATCAAAAAAACTCACAGTCAATAAATTAGAAATTATCATCAAATTTGGGGAGGGATAATTTTATGGCTTTTATAACAACAAATTAGGGTTTTCCTTTCATATTGTGTTAATTTATTCAATCCTTGAAATTGTTTGCAATAAGTGTATATACTTTTAAAAGTAGAAAAAGACACAGTGAGAAAATGTTGACAATTTGTTTTTTTAGGAAACATTTTATCTAGATTCATAAGAATTTATTACAATAATTCATAGAACTAGTATGTGGCCCAGGAAAGTTTAGTCAGTGCACAAACATCACCTTTTCTGAAGTTCACGTAACTAGGACTGGAACACATTTATTCAGTTAATAAAATTTTCCATATGAACCAAATTCTGGTTCCAGATGATTAACCCATACAACTTGCAGCAATAAAAAGCATGCATTTAATTACTGTCCAGTACTTGACGGCACATAACAACACCAACCTGTATCTAGTGTTAAAAAGCTGCACTGCAGCTGCTCTGCAGGAGACAGGTGGACAATCTCTTCCTGTGTAATTAAACTGCCTGGGAAAACCCACAGGAGGGTCAACTATGAGTCGATTCCAACTCAACAGTATACAACACAATAACAACAACAACTGTGTATCTAGGGAACTCGAGTGGCCTAGTGGTAAGGAGCTGCACTGCCAACCTGAAGGCACACAGTTAGAATCTACCAGCTGCTCTGTTAGAGAAAGAAGGGCATCTCCTCCCGTGCAATTTACTGCCTCTGAAAACACACTGGAAGGTCAGTAGTGAGTTGGTACCAACTTGATGGTACATAATAACTATGTATCAGGAGCTTGATGGTATAGTACCTAACAAGTCGCACTCCTAACTCAAAGGCTGCATGACACTCGTAGTTCAAATCCACTAGGGACTCCTTGGGAAAAGATGGACAGAATCCTCCCATCATGATTTGTGGCCTTAAAACCCCCATGAGTATCACAGTAACTTAGAGATATCTTAATAGCAATGAGTGAGTGACTGTCTACCAGATACTCCTTCCAAAACTGGACCCAAGGGGATTTAAGGAAGTATTCATTCCTATATCTCCTGATTATGTTATAGAAAGTACCATGAAATTCCATGCTCCTTTAACATTCTAGTTGCTGTTATGTGCTGTCTGCTCAGGACTGACTCATAGCTAACCCTCCTATGGGATTTCAAAGGCTAGAAATCACACAGGAGGAGAGTACCCATCTTTCTTCCACTAAGCAGCTGGTAGATTTGAACTATGTGCCTTTGGGTTGACAGCCTAACTCCTTACTACCAAGTCATTTGAGCCCCCTTAACATTCCGGGGTGTTTCTAAATTATTTGTCATCATTAAAAGCTAATGTGTTAATAAATCCTACTCCCCTCAAAATCATTGATGTCCAGTCAATTCTAATTCATAGCAACCCTAAAGGACATGGTCAAACGGCCCCATAAGATTTCCAAAGCTGTAATGGCTAGAGAAGCAGACACAACTTTCTCTAAAAAAATGACCAGTTGGTTTAGTTCACCCACCTTTTGTTTAGCACTTAACCATGGAACCAACAGGCCTCCTAATGTGCCCTAAGTGAATACAAACCATTACACTTCCTATACTGATAACTTTGTTGTGGTGGCATGAATAAGAAATAACCCAAATACAATATAAAGGTAAAGTAGAAATCATTTGAACACTATTTGTTACTATGGATTTTTTTTAGAACAGTGTTGTTTTTTTAAGGAAAATTATCTATCATCTGTAAAAAATTGGTTATGCTGTATAATTTACCTTATTCTGTTTACTAAGAGCTCTGGTGGCCCAATGATAAAGAATTGTATTGCCATGGCAAAGCCACTTGGTTCAAATTCACCAGCCGCTGTATGGGAGAAAGATGAGCAGTCTCTCCTGTGTGATTTACAGTCTCTGAAAGCCCACTGGAGGGTCAACTCTAAGTTGGTTTTGACTCAAAGGTACAGGAAAACATTTATTTATTAAAGTGGAAATCCAAATATTTAGCTTCCCTTTTGCAAAATTTAGTGAAGCATAACAACTTTGACTATACTCAATGAAATGGGAAGACGTACCAAATCCTATGGCATTAGTGACAAAAATCAAGCACACTTGTAGAACAAGAACAAACATTTCAATTAGGAAAATTGCTACTCAGTCTTAAGTCCTGGTTGCTAAAGGTTAACGCAAACATCTCTTGGCATAATCTTCATTATATAACTCAGTTGCATAGTTCCTCCATCTGTATCTATGATATTTGTGTAGATTAGTTTTTGCTGTGTGTCACTGTCCCAGTGGTCCTATATGACCAAGTAGAAGTGTCCCATAGAGTTTTCTAGGCTGTTATCTTTTTTCTTTCTTTCTTTTTAATTTTTTTTATTTTTATTGTATTATTTGTGTGTACCATCAAATCAGATCTGACTGGTACAGGAGGAGATTGTCCCTTTTTCCGGCAGAACATCTGGTGGATTCGAACCGTGCGTCTCTAGGATTGTAGTGCAGCTTCTTGCTACTAGGCCACCAGAGCTACCCTAGGCTATTACCTTTACAGGAGCAAATTGTGAGGTTTTTCTGCCTCTGACAAGTTGCATGAGTTCAAAGTGCCAACTTTTCAGTTAGCAGCCAAATGCATAACTATTATACTACCAGGACTCTTTCATTTATTACTACCAAGATTTAAGCATGTTAAAAAGATTAAATTGTTTTCTTCACTCAATTTTTTTTTTAAAAGATCTATTTTCATCTTACCTCATCTTTTTTGTTGGGAATTCTTTAATACCAGAAACTTGCAGATGTTCCATTGGTGCTTAATCAAGAATAATGACAACTCTAACTCTACCATGGAAGTATTGTGGAATTCTGTAATCTTTTCAAATACTTCTCCCTCCTATAATCTGCCAACTCTAAATTTTCGGATGAACATCAGAATATTGTGTGTATGTCTGTGCATGTTTGAAAATTTAGATTTAGAATTACTGACAGTATTATAATATTTTTTTAAACTGCTACTTTCCAGGGACTGTTCAAGGAGGAGAGAACTTCCAGATGGAAATGTCACAAGTGGGATTCAGTGCAGACTACTCTCCTCAAAATGTGAGTATATCAGATGACTTCACTTAGTGCTCTCACTTGGCAGAGTAACACTTCTGGACAGTAGTCTTACATATGAAACAGAAAATGCTCCAGTAGTGATCAACAGTTCTGACTCTGAGTCACAGTGGATTAATTCACCTGTGTTTCTGATTTGCCATCTCAAGAGTCTACTAGAAATACAATTCTGTTTCCTATTTCACATGATTTTTTTTTGTTTGCGTATCACCTTATTTATTTTTTTTTAAATTTTCATTCATTCATTATTGCACATTTTCCTCCCTGTCCCTCTCCCCCAGATGGCTTTTTTCTTTGTAAAAAGAGTTCTTTCATTGTTATACAGGGCCTGTATCCCTCTGCCCCCGACCACTTTTATATGCAGCTCTTCTTCTGGACTCCTGGCAATAGTACCTAATCAAATATTCCTTTTATAAAGTTCTCTCCCTTGTCTGTTTCAGTGAACAGGGGGATAAATAATGTAATGATTTTTTTTATGAAGAAAAAAAAATTTAATTATCCAAGGGGGCAGGTACTATGTATTAATCCAAGGTATTATAATTGCAGAAATTTCCTTTGAATCAATTAATTACTGAAAATATTAGTGAAGACTAATATGGAATTATATAGAGAGAGACAGAAAATAGTACTAGGAATGATTTACATGAAATTGGATAAGAAAGTCTAGTTTCCTTTTTCATAACCATTTTCTTCCCAGCCCTCTGATTCTAACTCCATGCAGGTACATGAGGAGGTTAGGTTGAGAAAGGAGAAGAGAGATAGGTGGCCCTAGAAATTACTTACGGACCCAAGTGAACCAGGGCATTTGAAGGGCTTATAAAAGAGGCTATTTTTCCCCCATAGGATCTTGATTATTGGTTGTTAGAATTATTCACAAAAGTTATTAGTTTTTCCATTTAAAAATGTAAAGGAATCCACATAGAGAATTTTGCACTTTCATGAAGTTTCTACTCAATCCTGAACCTATACAATTCTGAACCTCAGATTCAGAATCCTTTATGGCAGGCGCCTGTTCAATTTATGGCAATCATTGATTGGAATGGTCTCCCTTATAGTTAATTGAATGTCACAGATTGAGGTCCCTTTTGTAGCTGTGGTGATTGCCAAACAAATGAGATAGGATCTGGATAACTGAAGAATTTTTGAGGAGGAAGAAGGAAGCCAGAAGAAAAATGTTGAAAGTACAGTAGATCAGAAGAGAACCTCCCAGGACATGCCCGGAGCAGCAGCACTTCCTCTCCCCTCCTCCATCATTAACTCTTTAAGCTTCCCAAGCTTATCTCACATCTACCCAGAGACCTTTCTATGAGTGTGTGAGACCCCAGGCCCAATTCTCACTCCCAAATTAAAGCCCTTTAGGGTTCAGTGTTGGCAAATATGTGCCCTTGACAGAAAATGTAAAGTAAGTATAACCACCGATCTACATCTTAACACAAAAACTTACCAACAGAATGTTCCACGCTAAATAAAGCCAAGCCAGTAGAAAGTTTATTCTTTAGCATACATGATCTTATTTACTTATTCTAAGTTATTTAAAATATAAATATGTTAAAATTCCTTTCAAAGCTCCTCAAAATTACTTTACCAATTAGTCATTTGATATATTGATATTTGTATGATTGAAG